CTAAGAGATTATGCTAATTTTGTAAAGGAATTTAATTTTATTAGGTTTAGTAATCGAAAATGCTTTCCTTGACATATTCTGACCTTAATTATAATTTTAATAAAGATATTAATTAATTGAGCTAAAATGAAAAATTAAGTTTAAAAATATATAAAAATATTTGCAAAATAAGTGATAGAAGATTAATTAAGATTAAACATGAAGATAAGAATTTTTATTATTTTATATTTATTATTAATAAGTGAATAAATCAAAATAAACCATCTAGAAATTTACTTATAAACGAAGCTCAAAACTAAAATTTAGAGATTAGGTAAATTCAATAAAGCTGCGCCAGTTTCAATTTCATAATCAGATTTCATTTAACTATTTATTAAAAAATAAATTAAATACTTTGATTTTACTTTTAATTTTAATAATATAATTAAAACTAAATAAATAATAATTTAAATTATAAAATTAATAATATATTAAAATTTATTTTTAATAAATAGGAAAAAAAAGTTATTCAAAATTAATTTAAAAATAAAAGATAGATAGATATATTTGCATTTAAACGTTAGTTAAATTTAGTGTAAAGTTCAATTAAATGTGTAGAAATGTAATTAATTTACTTTCGATAAAATGAGAGATCCAAAACTTCAAGATTATTTCCTAATTATTAAATACTTAAAGCTAAATCTTTAGCTCCCTTATCAATGCTGTTTTCACTTTTATTTATATAATATAATTTTATAAGTTACTCTTATTAAAATGATAATCAAAATACAAATGAAAATTTTGAATAAAATAAAGTAATTTTTTGAAATATAAAAAGAAATTTTTTTAAAACTATAAATTAAAATTTTTTACTCTAATATCAATTTTAATCTTTTCAGTTTTTGAGATTAGCCTATTCCTTAGCCTAAGTTTTATATTCCTTTGTTTCCTATATAGTTTTTTCTAAAAAAAGAATTTTCCTTCATTCAACTTATAATAAGCTTGCTATGCTTACTTTAAATTGAGTTAGAGATATTCAAGATTGACAATATTTTCTAGGCAAGTCCCTAATATAGAAGCACCTTCATTTTTTATCTTATTTTTGCTATTTATTTAATTAGAACAAAATTATAAAAAGGTTTCTTTTTTTATAAAAAAAATTAAAACAAACTCTTGTTATTCTCCATAAAATTAAGCGAATAAAAGTAGAATAACAAAAATAATTATTTAAGAAAATTTCTATAAATAAATAATTTACGTAAAGTCTATTTACAAAAATGCAAGTTTATTACATTTTACTAATCCATCGCATAGCTTTTATGTGCCAACATCTTTTAATTAGCATTTACTATCATAAAAAATTCGTTATTAAAATGTTATAATTATATGAATGTCAAAATAAAAGATTTTTACCTAAAGTTTAAATTCAAGTTTATTAAATTTTCGCATCTTGATAATCCAATTCCTAATCGCGAATTAGCACCTATGAAGTTAGTCCTAAATGTTGAAGGAATAATATGTACATACATTTTAATGATTATATATAA